AAATGGAGCAGTCATGTTGCCAAAGGATTTACTTTTCTGTGTAGAAATACATCCTGAAGTAAAAATAGAAATACATGTACCAAAAAGCTGCTGAAACAATTTCTACTCAAATTTCTTTTGGCTTGAGAACAAATATGCAAAGTTCCTGCTGGAAAGAGGAATTCCTCTATTAGCATGAAAACAAGGCAAAAGTAATTCTATGTTAAACTTCACTCAGCGTCTGCAATATGAAGACCATCCAGAAAACTGCAGAACCTCAACAGTCATGATCTAGCGTGACTGAAACTGAGATAGGCTTTAGCTCAGATGAAAATCTTTTTTCTTATGGACTTCGGGAATGGAAACAGAGATTGGTGGGGAAATAGGGGAAAAAGACAGTGATAACACTCACTGTTCGTTTTCATTTGCCTCAACAGGGACATGACTGTCTCTGCTGCTATTCTGCATATGGAAGTGTGGGCTTCGTAGTCAAGAGAGAAGGCAGAACACATAATTAACTCCTCACATCTCTAGGAGTGCGAGAAAAGCAAATAAAAAAAAATCTTGTGCATTTAACTGCTGAATGGCCACCCGACCAGGTGAATGGGTGAAGGCAGACCACCCCGCACCCTGTTTAAAGAACTGCCCTATACTGAATGTCATCTCAGCCTAGGACCACAGGGGCCTCTTCAGAACTGCTGAGGTTGTTTGAGAACTGCTAGGAATGACTGCAATCCAGGCTCAGACTCTGAAGGCCAATTCTAAAACACTTATGTTTTAAATTACTTCTGCTTAGGGCCAGAGGCAATGGACATAAGTTGGATGCTGGGAAATTTCAATTAGATAGCTGGAAAAATTGCTTATTTCAACTTCTACTGGAACAGATCGCTTAGTGAGGCATTGGTATCTCCAATCTTGGATGTGTTCGAAACTTGACTGGAGAAGTTTCTGAGCAAACTGCTCTAATTAGACTTGCTTTGAGCAGGAAGTTGGACCAGATGACCTCTGGAGATCCCTTCCAATCTAAATTGTCCTATGGTCCTGCAAAATGTTGAAAAATAACTGTAAGGTCTGAACTATCCTGGAGTTCAAAAGTAGAAGGAAGTTTGACTAGAAATAATGCAGGAAGTAGGACTACTAGAATTTTCCTGGAAACAAAAGTGAAGAAGCTTGACTACAAGCAGCACAGAGCGGGAGGCATTCCCTGTTTCTGATTGTAGTCACATTGGTCATGCAGCTGTTGACAAGTCATATAACTTAACACCTGAGAGCTGGACACCGAACACTTACTGCTTCATTTCCATCAGCTTGAGCTACTATGTTTGTCCTATTGGAAATCAAATTTTAAAAGTCTCTGTTATAAGAGCAGACGTGTTCATGACCTTCTCAAAGCATCATTGATAACAACTCAGAAGATTGAAATCTGAAGATTAAAAGAGAATTTTTGGCATAAAAATTTCCTGGTGAACCAGATAGAATAAAAAGTTGAGGGTAGTAGCTATTTTTCTAAAATATTTTTCTGCAATTTGGAGGGGGTTAGATAGAATTTATCTGCTAATTTGATAAAGATTCAAACCTACTGAAATTTTTATCTGGTTACTTTTAGGTTTGTTTGTTTCCCACTGGGCTGCGTGTGGCTTGGAGACTGTCCAAATTCTTAAAAGCTTTTCTAGGCTATTGGCTTAGGATATGGACAAAAGACCGAAGATCTTTCAGAACATACTCTTTTCTGCTTCCTGCTAGCACACTGGGTGCTCACCATTTCACATTGGAGTAGAGGCCAAGGGATAGATGTCTGAGATGGCAATATTGCAGATGACCGCAGAAGATGCCATTTCCTTATGTTAAAACCTATTATTTGAAAATTCTCTAACTGAAACCATACTGAGGTTCTGTTACAGTCTCACAGTTTTAAAGAGGAGTCATAAAATGTCAAGATGTCCAGAGCTACAGATACATGCAAAAGGAAATGATTAATGTTTTGATATTATCAACATGCCAATATTATCCCAGTAATGCAATATTGTAAGTGGAATATACTAGTTTAGCGCAATCTCAGTAGGTATATTTACAGGAAAAGAAAAAGAATATTATGAATATACAAGTCATTTCAAAGCGAGAATATTTAAAAACATTTATTACAAAAATTTCCTTACCCAAATACCCAAAATATTGGGAGATAAATTCCAATACATAAGGCCGGCTACTTTAAGTTGCTACAGCAGCAAACTGAGATAGGAAGGCCTGTCCCTATTATGCTACTGATTTCCTCAGTGAGCTATGGCAACCCACAAAACCTGTCCCTGCTTTTATTCCCCATCTCCAGAACATTTTATGCACAAATACATGGCCAGGGAATTTAGGTCATACAAAGGGAGTAATTTATCCCTCTAGCTATCTAAATAGCTAATCTCTTGCTATATTTCACCGGATTCAGAAGAGATGCTTTACCTTTCCTAGATGGTAAAAAAAGAAATAGTTAGGCATTAATTTGATGCATGGGGTGTTAACCTGGTATACGACTTTCAAGCACATCAGCGAATGCATACTGTGGGAGCAGCAACTAAGCTGGGCAATATTCAGTTTAACATTACCTTTTCCGTACAATAATGATGTGAAGAGTAGTCCTCCAGCATGTTTCTTTATTGGTTCCAGTAATTAAGTGAAACATTGTACGGTATGTACTGAAGTATGCAGAAAATAGGACACAACTGCCAATCTGTGCTAGTTATTTTTCTTACAGGTGTATTTATCTAGTTTGTGCTGATTTCTTGGACTCTGTATTTTATGATTAATCTTGTGACTAAACAACATTGGGATGATGCTGAGGCTGCGATAATGCTAGACCCTTCTACCCAACAGTCATAAACAAATTAAATTCACCATAGGTCTATCTATTACGTGGTTCTAAATAACATCCTGAGAATATTCTACTGCAAGTTGTTTCTATGCTGAGGCATTTCTTTTGGCACACTTACCTGAGCTAAGGTTAATCCTAACCTGCCTTTCATCCAGATGGGTGCCTCAGTTCAGCATTTTTGTTAAAGAAAAAGGAAACCCAGTGCCTTTCTGACACACAGAAACATGCCATCTTGGTGTTCGACTACATAATCCTTTTGTCTGAAAAGAAGAGCCCAAGTATATTTCAGAAAGATCATATTTTCATTTTGCTTATGGAACACTTATAAACTAGGACTCCTAACTGTGATTCCTAAACACAAACCAAAGTCAAAGGTTACAGCATATGTTTTTGTTTCAGCTTCCCCAAATTACTTGCAAATGTATTCAAACACAATATGAGGAGATACTTTATTTTATTGAAAATAACAGACTACAGGGTGCTGCAAAAAAGGCTGAGGTACCTCAAGCATAAACATGGAAAGAATACATTGGTTTAGAAACCCATAAATCCTTATTTGAATCTGCCAACCTGAAAGCCAAGTAAAGCCCGGAAAAACTATTTTTCCTAAATGCTATGTCTGATTAAGCCATACTATTAAATGACAGCTGAACTTTAACATTAATATGATATTATTTAAATAACTGCATGATTTTTTTTACACTAAAATGATGAATGATTTTTGGACAGCTCAATTGACATAAAGCAAGAAACCCCTTTAATGAGATTTGACAAAATGGAGACATATGCAGAGTATTCGTTACAGCTCATGTCGCAGAGCCCTTCCTGGGGAGACTTGGGTTTGGTTGTGTCTTTTCTTTCGTTCATTTTTTTTATAGTTTATTTTGATTGTCTACAGGCACTGAACCATCCCTTTCAATTGCCACTTCCTTTCTCCATGGATTTTGAATTTAGTTTGTGTCATTTACATATTACTCTTAATCAGAAAATTGTATATGTTACAGTTTGCAGTTGGAATTGTAAGAAATCTGTGGAATGAAGGTATGAGGTTCAGTCATTTTAACCTTTGTCAACTGAGTACACAAGGAACTAACAAAGATATTTTGCTGAGGAGACTAAAGAACAACATTAAATTCTGGTTTTGATACTTTACAAGTCAAGTGACAAAGCAAAAACTCTGCAAAAACTTTCTCTTCTTTCTTTCTTTTCTTTCTTTCTTTTATTTTTTTTCTTTTTTTTTAATAAGGAAACTGCATTAAGCAAAGACGCAACATAAAAGCCCATGGCAAGGGTGATTTCATAGTGAACATTTCTGAAGATGCTCTAAAATCCTTTAAAACTGTGTTTTCATAGCACCCAACACCATCTACTAGAGGGATGCTTTTCCTCTTCAGGAAGCTGAATACAGGCAGAAATACGGGCATCACAAAGAAGCTCAGGTGATGTTTCATTGGGTAAAGAAAACATATCCAGAGATGTCACTAATTCAAAAAATCTGTCTGGGAAGGTATCAATGTAAATCTAAGGTTAGTAGTAATCACTGGGTAACTCCCTCCCTGCAGTCCCACATAGATTTTTAGGATGTTGCCAATCTTTCCTGTCTGTATCACCTTACTTTAACCCTAGGGACAATTTTCATAACACTGAACACTGAAAGAAACACGCTAAAGCCACGAAGTTTGACAATGTGTCTGCCCTATCTGTTCAGACAGAATTGATCATCTTAACCTTATCTCTGTGTGTAAATTTATGCTGCCCCAAATAATTTACAAACTTTCTCACATAGTATCTAACAGGTAAAAACCCCTGAAAACACTGAAATCACTCAAGAATAAGGAACACAGGAAATCATCATTAAAGAGTTTGATTTTAGAACACACACAAAAAGCCCCCCAACTATAAAGGAAGAAAGATGAGCAACGACTGAGCAAGGGGTAATTCCTCGGGGTACAGACAACTCTTTCCATAGCTGTGATAAAGCCTTCTATCTAACTATGAGTGCTTCAGGACCAGCATTAATTTGAAGACATTCTACATAGCAGCCTGTGTAAAAAAAGTTAGGTACGTCAGCAAAATGCTCTGGTTGAATTAAAACTAAAAATAAAGGCAGGGAGGGAGAGAGGAAAAAAAAAGAAAGAGCAGAAGTGTCCCTACCTTGGCCTTACCTTCGCAACATTCCCGTCAAAATCCTGGAACTCTTCCCCAGGTTTGCATCTGTTTCTCTAAGCTGGGGAGAAAAGAATCCCATTAAAGGCAAAAAGCACATGTATTCCATTCCGTACAAAGGACAGATTTTTACCGTCATTTGAGTCAATCCACTTTAGGTTTAGGCCATGACAAACTCACATGTAAGAAAGCCAGCAAAGCTCTGAAATTTAAAAATGTTTTGTCTTGTTTCCACTTACATAAAGACGAAACCCATGGAAGATAAGACATTGAGGCAACAAAGACAAACCAGCCAAAGAGCAAAAGCTTTACAAATAAAGGGTGGCGGGTAGAAGCTATACAAATCAGTACCCGTAATATCCATTGATGTATGTATGTTTATTGGTTATGTACATTAGTGAGGGCATCAAGGATGAAGAGACAGACATGCACTGTGTTCCTGATGCTTTATGAAAAGCAAAACAAACATATGTTTCTTTCATTGTTTTTCAGAAACAGTAGCATAAAGAAAAAGCAGTAATACAGAACACTGTCCTTTTACCCATTCCGCATAAAAGAAATATGCTTATACTGTCCCTTAAACACAAAACTTACTGACCTTACATAAGCCACCACTGAGATGGATGTCCAAATATTTTGTGAACACTATATAGTATGTAAATAAAGCACAGCTGTACAATATCTATTTTTGTATGTAAGGATCACTCACTCACTGAAAATAACATTTTTAGTAGTTTATTAGGACACAGGAAACCTACATTTACAGCCAAACAACTAGCTGACTTGTTCTACAGCTTTCTCAAAAATCTTGCAAAATAGGTAAAAGCACAACTGAATAAAAAAATAAATTGGGGAGATAAAAATTTAAGAAGCAAATGAACTTCATGTTAAAAAAGAGCAATTACTTCAATTGTTCCACCCTTTAAAAGGGATTAAAACCTTCCTTCTAAATTTTGTGTTTGTTAAAGTCTCCCACAAAATGATGTCTAGAAACAAAGAAGTGTATAGGAAGAACAGAGTTACAATCCTATTGCCTCTTTTGCTTCTGATAGCTGAAGGAGAGACATCTTTGGACTTTTTTGAGATCTTGGAGCCAGTGGGACATCAAAATCTTATGTAACAATGTAATAACATCAGTTATGAAATAGTAGGCACCACTGTTTCTAACATGCTCCAAAACACAGCTGTGTATACATACATAAAAACATTCTTCTCCTTATGAAAGCTGAATATTTACCTCTTCATTATCAAATCAGAGTGAAAGGATTACCTGACTCATTGACTTCTTACTAAAGAAACTTTGTTGTAGAAGACAAAATGCATCCTGTATTATAAATCCATCAAAACAGTAAAGCTGCCAAGAAAAGTGGCAGTCTTCCAATCACAAATCACCTTCACCATAATAAACCACTATCATATCTTGAGCATACACATAGCAGCAATATTAAAACCAGTTTCTATTCTGGAGCCCAATACTGTAAATATTTGCTACCGGATTTAATATTTATTACTGAAATCAATAGTTGCAATCAATGACACATAACCTTTTTGCATAAATTTCCTCATTGTTCTTGTAAAAGGTATTAAGAAAATCGCAAGTAGAAGCTGGGACTGGGTAACACCAACTAAGACTTGCTCTTAGCAATATCATATTCAGTAGGAAGGCTTGCACTGATTCTCATATCTCCGTAATTATGCACTGTGATGGAACAAAGATGAGCATTATATTCCAGGGAGGCCTTTCCCTCATTTTTTTCCTGATTCATCTAGACAATTCAAGCTCCAGAAAAGCAGTTTAGCCCAGTTTGACACAAGTAACAGAAGAAAAAACGTCACAATAATTTTTTAAAGGCTCATTAAAAAGCTAAGTTATCTATCTATGCTAGAAGGGAATCTGAAGTACAAATGTACGTTTTACATTGGTCTTTTATTATTCATGAAGATGCATTTAACACTTGGGGCTTCTCCTCCCTTTTCACAGAAAAGTAGCTCTCTCCTTTTTACCATTCTATGTTTGATCCTAATTTTCCTCTCTTGCTGCAGGTTTCTACCTGACAGCTAGAATCAGTAGAGATAGTTAGGAAGGGGAAGCTGAATCTTAGAGGCTTGACAAACTCCTCTAAGCAAGACGACCTCATATTTTTATGGTAATAAAAAACCCACAAAATAAGTGAAAGAAACATTAAAAAAGAAACAAACACGTACACACATTGTTGGAAGATCTCTAGCTATCTCCCAAGAGAACGCTAAAAAAACACCTTTTCTTCCTGCACTGGCAGAAAAAAAAAACAACATAAAGAGTTTCGAACTGTAAGTTTGTTTTTATTTAATACTGAAATATCTGATGGTAGACGTCTTTACCAACACCAACGCACTGCAGAAGCCAAAGAACAGGTGGCATACAAACCTGTTAAATGGCACATGATGGCACTTCCTTATTTCACAGAACTGCTGTAGTGGAAACATTTTGAAATATGCTCTGATATTAGCAATGGCAAATCTACATGGTGTTTAAGAAAGTTTTTAAATACTAATACTTTGAATAATAATGAGAAAGGAAGGAAGATGAACAAGATGCTGACATTGATATCTTGCCTGCCTTAGACACATACTAACTTGAGGTTTTCCTAAAAAATGTTGCATGTTTAGAGACCTGTATAGTCCAGTTAATCTATCTGATTGTAGCAGAGCTTTTATCCCTCCTCTTTGGCGTAAAAAAAAAAAAAAAGTTTTACTCTATAGACAGAAAACATCATGTATGTAAATTTAACCAAACTATAGAGATACTAACTCATTTAAATTTTGCTCATGAGGAAATCTTCCTAATTTTCACAACGTTGAACTGTTAAGAACTGACAATCACACTCAAGTTGACATTTCACTTTCAGGAGACAAGTTTGTTCCCTGGTTGATAAGATAATAATGCCATGTATTCAGTGTAAAGCTATTATACACTGACTGAGCACCCTCTGCCCTGGTCTTTAAAAAAAAATCTCCAGAAAATAAAAAACTTGCCAAGTTATCTAGCATCATTCCTGACCGTATTTCTGAGTATAAAGACAGTTGAGGCAGGTCCACTCATGTGGCTCCATTTGAGAACTTTTCTGAATTCCCTAAATAAAATATTTTAAGTGGCATATGATAAAAACTTGGAGTTTGAGATCTTCCATTTATGACAAGAGGTCTTTCACTGCACTGTGGTGGGACATACTTTCCTAGAATACCCTTATTTTCAACCTTGCTCCTTGCAGCTTAGAGGCTTTGCCCTCAAAGAAATTTGCTCTTCAGGTGGAAAGCACAGAAGAGGTAAAGCTATGCTACAAACCATGTGTACACAGAGTCATCAGAACTACACTCCCTCTTTCTCTTTCCCAAGGATTTTTAGGATCAGCAGAAAGGGATACGGGGTATTCATCTTTATTGCCTAGGTTTTACTTGTCTAGCTAGAAACAGAAAAGCATCTCAGACTCAGCAATCACTAGGGATGTAAGGAGTGGAGGTGAAATAAGACCTGAAAGTTGCCTGAACAACAGTTGGTAAATGCTTACAATCCTTAGTTACATTTAATGGTTTAGGTATAGTTAATGTTTTAAAATAGCTACTGCCCAGGACTTCAGAAAGCAACTGATAGACCTGACCGAAAATGCCTCATTAAAGCTGTCACATGAGGCTTTGACAATCGAAGTTATCCAGGTAAAGAAACTCCCTGGGACAGATAAAGGAGTTTTCTTAAGTGGCACTGGTCAGGTAAAGGCAGGAGGACTTCGCTTTGGCAAAATATGGCTTAGGAAAGTATCTAATCCACGTGTCATGGACAGAGTCACAGCTGCAGTCACTCCTGGTTCTGTAGCAGAAACCAGAACCAGAGAGGCAAATTTCTTAGACCGAAGTTCAGCGAAGTTGTATGCATTGGATGGGATGGGCTTCTGAGCATTTTCATTAACTCTACAGAGTACAGCTGATCCCTATGGAGGCAACAGAAGCCAAAAATGACATAGATATGTTATCTTGACTGCAGTGACAGAGCAGCAGTGTAAGAAACCACTACCTGTTCTTTCACACAGAATTGCCTATGTAGGTAATTATTAGCATTGCAGCTACAATGAGTAAGGTTGATCCACAGAAGCTCAGTCACGATACTGAATTGTGCTTCATAGAAAGTCCAAGAAGTCACTGCAATTGACAGTATAACAAACCCTTCAAAGGACAGAAAACTGACCTAACTATGATGTCAGTGACAGGAAGCTTGCTTCCAACACTGGATGTGGTGACGTCAGTGTGACTCCCTGTAGGAGAGGCTTGGAAGGCTTAGGCCCATAAGACACTTAACTGCTTCGCTGCAGATAGTGATTATATTTCACAATAGCAGCTGATTTATATAAAACTGATCAACATGTTGGATTATTTTTGCATGCACAGAGAACTTGTCCAATGCAAATAAAATCCGAGACCAGCAATTACTTAGTATCAAACTTACCCTTTCCCGAGCACGCTGGATCTTCTCTCTATCATGGCTGAGGTTTTCCAGCATCTCCTGTCCAATCTGCTCTGCATTAAAAAATAAAAATGTAAATAATGAAAAATACAGCTTGTGACTGTAAGGCCTCAAAATGCCAGGTTAGATTGCAACAACGTCATTTAATACATGTGGTAGCCTAATTACTCCTCCTAACTGCAGAAAGGAAGACATCATTATACTAAATTTCAAGTTTTTCAAGCAATGTAAAACTGAAGAAGTAACAACCAAACCAGAAGCTGCTCCCCTGCAATCTCTTGAGGTGGTCTAGGCCCTGGGAACTGACGCCAACCTTTGGTCTGTGAAACAAAGGCAAGAAGACCTTCAGATTTGCTCTAAGTGCTGGGTGTTCTTACTTCCCACACACTCTTTAAGGTCACTCGTCCTAGAAAGTCAGGAAGCCTTTGTTAAACACCAGCCATCCTTATACCTCTAAAAACACTAAGAAGTCATATTAGAAGAAAATAACTCTTTGTGCCTCTCAGCATTTACCATTGACACTTAAATAAAAGCTATTTCAGGCTAAGCCCAGTTACTGGTGTCTGTTTTGCTCTATCATGGACTATTTCTGGTAGGCTTAGAGATATGCTGTAATGGATCTCCTGATGTTTTTAATAGCAGACATATACATTAATCTATTGTCATCACCATTTGCTTACACAGGGGTTGTTTGCTTCTGCAGCTTATGCCGATCCAAAGACTGCAAAATTATAGTACAAAGACAACACAAGACGCCAAAACTTCACTCTTCAAACAGCTTCAGTCAAATGCTCCTCTAACACTGAAATATTAGCGGCAAGTATAGAGAAGAGATTTTAATCTTCAAAGCTCTATAGAAACATTAAGAAATCCTCACCGTATTTCCCTGAAGGAGAAAAAAATAAGTTAAATCATTCCCATTTTACAGATGGGGAAACAGACACAAGGAGCTGAAGCAGCTGTAGCTTGCCTCAGGACACATAGCACGTGTGAGAGAACCCGCATTTCTGGGCACATTCATTTAGGCCACTTAGCTAGCTTGCCAGAGATAGGCACCAAAACTGAGTAAAACTAAAAAACATGATTTTTTTTTTTTTATAAACAACAAAAACCATGCCTTGCTTTTGTTCTGGTGAATAAGTGGGTTCTTAAAATGTCATTATTTGAGGAATCTTAAGAAAATTATCATTAAAAATTCACCAATATGTTGGCAAACACAACTATATATATATATATTTAATAGATACAGTCCATTTTCAGGAAACAATACAAAGTAGAATCACCTCAAACTTTAAAAATTTGAGACAAGTAACTTTTTTTCTAAATCTATTTCACACAAGTTATACACTCTGCTAGATAGAGTTTAAGGAAATTCATTATATATATATTTCTCTATCTGTTGCCAAGTAGAGTACAAGTAAGATAAATATTTCCTCAGATATTTGACCACAAATTGACATCCTCATTATGCTATCTTGTCCCTCTTGGCTTGCTGCTCTTTACTTTTAGCTGTATATACAATGCCTCCCAAAGGTGAAATGTGGTAAGATATGTGGTTATTGAGTTAAAAAAGCTGTAAGGTGCAGTACAGCTATACAAATGGTAGCCTAAGAAAGCGAATCAAGAGAGCCTACGTTTGCATGTCAAAGGCTTTACTAGATGAAAATATACTGAGCTTATTCCTCATCAAAGCACTCAAAATACTGTAATACACAGATACATGCATTCAATGTAATCTGGGGGAGAAAAAACAAAGCAAAATCCCTTAAAAACAGAGAGGAAAGAAATCAACAAATTACTAACTAAGTAGCACGAGGTGAAATGATAACAAGTATTTACTGCTAAAAATTATATGTATGTTTGCACAGACATAAAGGAGTGCGAGAAGCAGATTTTCCTTCAGAGGAATAACTATAAAGTTAATGGCTAATGGCTTGGTATTTCACAAACAAAACTCAAAAATATCTTTATAGGAAACAGCTCTATTTTTATTACACCAATTCTAAGCAAGTTACTGTGGGTTTTTTTTTCATCTTCTTCCTGTCACTAGCAAGTTCACACTCTTAGCTTTTTATAATGATTGAGTTTATTTTCCAACCATCAACGTGACAGCAGCATCAACTGTAAGTGAGGGTAAAACACCATCACTTTGACGAATAGTGTATTTTCCTCTCATTGTCGATGACTGAAGACATCAATAAATAAGGAAGGAGAGCATGTCAGCCAGAATATCACAGAATGAATTGTTGATATGACACTTAGGGATTAAACCTTCAGCCATGAAGTTCAACCTAGCAGAGAGGTCTGAGAACTGAGATAGTTGCATTTCTTCCCAGCAGCCTCTATAGATAAATAATTGGACGGATCATCAATTTTACAGGAGCAGCTTTACTCTACATGCACTTTAGTTGATGATCTTTGGCCTTTTTTGGGCTAAAATAACAACATAAGTTGAACAAAGAGACATAATGGAGGTAACATAATCTCACAATAAGTTTGCAAACATAAATTGACACCTTTATCCACAGAGCCTCTTCATATCCTTGTTCTTCTCAGAAAATTCACTGATGATAGTGAAACTCGATTTTTAGCTGGGAGGTCAAGACAGTCAAACAAAAATATTAATAAACAAAGAAAATATAGACTTATAAATGATATGAAGACATGTATCCTTGCTTGGTTTGCAACTGATGGTGCCCAGGACTGGAAAAAAGTAACATTAGCCCCCAGTACCGCTAATTACAAGCTTGATACCATTGTTATCTGCTTGCTATCATTTCTCAAGTTTCTCCACGATGCTGATGTTTTCCTGGCAGTTAAAATCTTCACCTATGTGGCAGTTTCACGCTTTTAGTGCAACAGTGCTGTATAGATCTTTCCAGACTGCTTATAATGCAAATCATTGACGATGCTACTACAGTTATGTGAAAAGGTCAGGTTTCTAAGATATACTGTAGTGCAGATGCATGAATTAAAACCAATATGCAAACTGAAGGGTGTTGCATGTTGCCAGTAATGGTGTTATTTCCACAGAATCTTAACAATGTCAATTATTTTGGTATTATCCCACCCTTTTAGACAGTATGTACGGACAACGTTTAGTACAGTGCAGTCCAAAGTCCTACAAAAGACTGCGTGGTGCTGCCTCTTCTAACCGAAATTCCCAAAGAGATGCATAAAATTATGTTCTAAAATTACAGCTAAACTATGAGAAGCAGAAGGGTGAATGCATTTACATCATTATTATCTATGTACTGACAGAGGGCAGGAATATTCAATATAGCAATTATCTCAGTCTTAAACAATGCTGTGATGAACAGAAAAAAAAATTCTGAAAAAGTACATAATACTAACAAGCATCAGCCTTAAAGAGTGAATGCTAAAATTCACAGCTCTCAATGTATTCTGTCTTACAGGTGTTTGAACAAGGTATGTGACATCAGCCTCTTCAGTGTTGAACACTTTAATAATGCTATGTCGTGGGTCCAATAAAATGGTGCCTGGTTCTATGAGACTGTGTTGCGCCAAAAAAATGATAACATTTCTTATCCTAAAATGCTGAAACTAATTAGAAGAATGAAGATGCTTTCCCTAACTGAAGAGAAAACAAAACCCCAAAAACCAAACAAGTGCACACCCAACTTTCCCCTTCATATGTGCAAAAATTGGCACATGGTTGTCGACTTTTATTCTGAGAAAAATGCTAAAGACACTGATCTCTTCTAGCGATGCTTTACACTCCTGAACATGCCCTTACTTTGGAACTTGCCTGTAACCTACATGCACTATTTATTTATAAGTACAAATCGTAATTATTTAATACATGTTCCACAAAGCTCGATTTCTAATACCTACACATATATCAAGGATGGAAAATAAGTTGTGATTGACCAGTTATTCTTTTTCTTTTTTTTTTTTTTCCTCCAGCCATTTAAGTATTTATTTAGTTCATCAGCTAAACTGATTCTGAAAGAGCTTTTTATAATCACTCAAGTCAATAATACTTTTTTCCTTAAGAATCACTAATATATTTACTCAAGAGACAGGAATGATACAGAGTGAGTCTCTCCAGGCTTCTGGATAAACAAACATGCATTTTTATGAATTTTGAAGACAGAGTCCTCATTTTTCTTTTCATATGAAAAATAAAATAATATGGTACTTTTCCTCTCAAAGTGTATCCTCTATGTGTGTGTGTATATATATATATCTCAAAATACATTTCGTAAGAGGCAGCAGATATCTTGATATGGTTTAAAATGTAAAAAAAGCTTAAAAACAACAAAATCATGGAAAGGATGCCTGGAAGTATGATTTGCTCAATCCCGTCTTATGTACAACGCATTCATCTGAGCTATGTAATCAGAAGTGGGAAAAGACAAACTAATTTACTGTGGGAAAAGGAGGAGATCATGTTAAAAATCAAGATGGTTGTTCTACAGAATCATGAAATAAACTCAAAAATCCACTGTGTGTTTTGAGAGAAAGAATCAGAGTAGGAATGGAGAACACTTCCACTCTGAGATCCTCAGCCTTGCCTAGTGAATGACACCCTTTGGGGAGCACAATTCCGTGTTGTCTTTGCACAGAGACATTGCATGCTCTGAAGATGTAGCAAGAGCTTATGGAAGATTTTTGGAGAAGAACTATGCTGACGTAGACAGAAAATCAGTAAACATATTCAAGGCTGGGACACTTTTTTCCAAAAGCCAGTCCATTTTGGACAGGTTAAAAAGTTTAGATTTTAGGTAACTAAGAGATATAAATCATCAACAGCAACTTCTGGAAAAAATGTGAGAAAGCATTAAATTCTAGCTGTTCAGAGGTGACAGCAAGCAGATTTACAAACTTGGAAAATACATGTCGCAGGAGTTAGAAGAATTCAGGGCTCAGTCAAATGCTTTACGCTTCTGATAGCAGAAAGATAATAAAGTAAGTGATGGCATACCTTTAAGTGTAGGGACACAGGTAAAAGTCCCATAAACTTAACAATTTCACAGTTGATACATATTTATATTGAATAGGCAATATAACTAGAGACTGAAGAATTTAG